ATGAAGCTGCTGGTAGAGATCATCCGGAGTTTTGAAGTTTGATGTCATCAGTACGCAGATGATGTTCAACTCTATCACTCCTTTCCACCAGCTGCTAAGGAGGCTATTCAGGTCCTGAACCGGTGCTTGGCAGCTGTGACGGTCTGGATGAGGGTGAACAAATTGAAATGGAATCCAGAAAGGACAGAGGTCCTCCTGGTCAGTCAAAAGGCCAAATAGTGCATAGGGTTACAGCCTGTGCTGGATGAGGTTACACTCCCCCTGAAGATACAGGTTTGCAGCTTGGGAATTCTCCTAGACTCATTGCTGAGTCTGGAAACCCAGGTTTCATTGGTAGCCAGGGGAGTCTTTGCACCATTAAAACTTGTGCACCAGCTGCACCTGTACCTTGGGAAGTCAGGCTTGGCTATGATGGTCCATGCTCATTACATCCTGAATAGACTATGTAGTAGAATCTACCTTTAAGACGACAAGGCCGAAGCCTGCATGACAGTAGCTGTCATCTTGGAAGGCAGGCAGAGACAGGAGGAGGAGTCAAGCCGACTCCTGATTGGGTATAGCAATTGGGGGAGGAGTCGGTTGAGAGAGGGAAATAGGCTGTCAGCTTTTGACAGAGGGAGAGAAGTGTCTTGACATCAGACACAGAAGGTTGAAATGTTAAGATAGGAAGTTACAGTAGGGATCTGACAGGGAAAGAAAGTTTGAAGTGAGCCTTTAGAATAGGGAATAAGCAGACAGACAAGGGCCAGGGTTACTGTATTAGTAGGATCAGTAACAGAAAGACTTGTCTGTTTATACTGAGGAAAAGTATAAGAGAGCTTATTTGCCCTGTGGGAGAGACAGATAGGGATCTGTTCTCCAAGTGTTACTGTTCCTAAAGATAGAGCAGTGTGGTTAAGGAATCAATGGTACAATGGGCAACAGCCAGATTGTTCACCAGAGTGGCATACAGGGAGCATACAATCCCCCTGTTGTGTCAGCTCCGCTGGCTGTCAGGCTGCCTCCAAGTGCAATTCAAAGTGCTGGCTTTAGACTATAAAGTCCTAAACCAGTGGTTCTCAACCTGTGGGTTACCAGGTGTTTTGGGCTAAAATTCTCAGAAATCCCATAGTTAACCAGCTCTTAGGATTTCTGGGAGTTGAAGGCCAAAACATGTTGGGACCCACAGGTTGAGAACCACTGCTTACCTGTCCGAACACATCTCCCCCATGAACCACCTTGGAGGTTAAGATCTTCTGGGGTGGCCCTGCTCTCGGTACCTGCTCCTTCACAGATGCAATTGGTGGGGATGAGAGACAGGGCCTTCTCAGTAGTGGCCACTCGGCTATGGATCTCCCCAGTGAAATCAGATCAGCGCCCCCCCCCCCCTCTTCTTGGCCTTCAGAAAGGAAGTGAAGACATGAATGTGGAACCAAGCCTTTGATCAGTAAGGTAATGCAGTGCTAGAAATGGATATGGAATATGTGCAATTGACAACTGGAATCGCTATGGATTACGATTTTGGATTGCATGGTTTTCAAATGTTATTGCTAAAATGGTTTGTTTCTATGATTTTAATGTAATTGTTTTTTAATTTATTGTTTGTTTATATGGCATTGAAGTGTTGCCGATCTGTAAGGTCAATCTGGGTCTCCTTCAGGATGAAAAGGGTAGGATATAAATATATGGTAAATAAATAAATAATTCTTAAATCATACATAGGGTGCATCTACACTATAGAATTAATGCAATTTGATACCATGATTTCATAGCTCTGTCATGGGAGTTGTGGTTTTACCAGGTCTTTAGCCTTCTCCACTAAAGAGTGCAGGCGCCTCACCAAAACTACATCTCCCAGGATTGTGCAGCATTGAGTCATGGCAGTTAAAGTACTGTCAAGCTTCATTAATTCTACAATATATATTATTGTCATTTAGAACCTCTGGTTAAAGGGAAGGAGATTTGTTACTTAGTTGAAATCTTTAATTTTTTAAAACCAGCTAAAAACAAGAATTAGTAGCATATGTTTAATTGCTGAGAAAGTAAATGCAGTGTTGGACTTGGAATCTAGGAGAGTATGGTTCAAATCTCACTAGGGTACATTTCATTTAAAATCAGAAACCAAAGCCTTTCAGGATCTTATTCTTACACAGATGTGAAATGTCAGTATCTCTGTGGATGTGCAGTTATTTTTCTCCAAAATGGATTGCCTTCATGAGATCAGCAAAAGTAATTCTGTTAAAGAATTATATCCTTTAACAGAGATAGATCTCTTACTTTATTTAAAAATAACTGCATCCCCTTGTCCCCAGACACTTTAATCATCTTGGTTTTTTAAATAATTGTTTTTTAAGACACTGTTGTAGGAAGACAGCATTTTAAAAACAGAGCAAAACAGTATACAGTATTCCTGTGTTTGTGTGTGCCTTCAAGTTTCCTGTCAACTTATGAAGACACCATGAATTTTCCTGGGACTTTGAAATCTGTACCATACAGCTCTAATGCTGTAGATCAGGAGAATGCATAAGAGAATGATAAGTGTGTGTGCTTTCAGATCACTTGTAGACTTAGAGGAGAATCCCAAGAATCTCATAGGTTCTCCTTAGGCCAGTGGTTCTCAACCTGTGGGTCCCCAGATGTTTTGGCCTTCAACTCCCAGAAATCCTAACAGCTGGTAAACTGGATGGGATTTCTGGGAGTTGTAGGCCAAAACATCTGGGGACCCACAGGTTGAGAACCACTGCCTTAGGCAAAGAATACTAAAACATTGTTTTATCAGCTCCTTCCTTTGAATATAGCCTTCAGTACCTGCTATTTATTAGCATTCTTTCCAAGCTTAGCTTCCACATAAAAAGTTTTTTAAGGAAAATATTCTTATAGGCTGCTGTGAGTTTTCCTGGCTGTATGGCCATGTTCCAGAAGCATTCTCTCCTGAGATTTCACCCACATCTATGGCTGGCATCCTCAGAGGTCATGAGATCTTTTATATATGTGGAATGTCCAGTGTGGGAGAAAAAAACTCTTATCTGCTTGAGGCAAGTGTGAATTTTGCAATTGATACCCTGACTAGCATTGGATAGCCTTGCAGCTTCAAAGCTTGGCTGCTTCCTCCCTGGGAGAATCCTTTGTTGGGAGGTGATTAGCTGGCCCCAATTGTTTCTTTTCTGCAATTCCCATTTTTGAGTGTTGTTCTTTATATACTTTTATGATTTTAGAGTGTTTTAAATACTGGTAGCCAGATTTTGTTCCTTTCCATGGTCTCTTCCTTTCTGTTGAAATTGTCCACATGCTTGTGGATTTCAGTGCCTTCTCTGTGTAGTCTGACATGGTGGTTGTGAGAGTGGTCCAGCATTTCTGTGTTCTCAAATAATACACTGTGTCCAGGTTGGTTCATCAAGTGCTCTGCTATGACTGACTTCTCTGGTTGAGTTAGTCTGCAGTGCCTTTCACTTTCCTTGATTTCTGTTTGGGTGCTGCATTTGGTACTCCCTATGTAGAATTGTCCACAACCAGGGCCAGCTAGTCACCTTCCAAGAAAGGATTCCCCCAAGCAGGAAGCAGCCAATATTTGAAGCTGCAAGGCTATCCAATGCTAATCAAGGTGATCAATTGCAACAGTCACACTTGCCTCAGACAAGAGTTGTTTCTCCCACCCTGGACATTCCACAGATATTTAAATCTCACTTGCCCAGCTTCCAACAGACCTCTCAACCTCTGAGGATGCCTGCCATAGATGTGGACGAAATATTAGGAGAGAATTCTTCTGTAACATGGCCATACAGCCAGGAAAACTCACAGCAAACCAGTAATTACTGCCATGAAAGCCTTCAACAACACCCTGAACATCCATATAGTTTTTTTGAACTGAGTAAAAATGAGATGAGGGGGCCACCTTGTGTCAGTTCTCTGCCATTGCACAGTATACCCAGTGCTCCGCTATGAATATTGTAAGCCATGGTGAAAAACAAAAACTTTCAACATGTCCTATTAATGTTTTCGCATACAGAAATTGTTTTCAGTCTTCTGCCTGCCCTGTTTCTCAGTTCTAATTTTAAAAGACAAGTGGTTGGTCTCATGCAAAGCTCATCAGATTTGTGTAGGAATGTACAGCAAATCTAGAACCACTCCAAACAGACCTCAAAGGAAACAGGGAAGTCAGCATATGGATTCAAAATATGCCCCTATTCAGCATTTTAACTGTTGGGAAACTCTGTGCAACTGAAAGCCCCTGACAATATGTATGGCTCATGCACACTCCACATTCAATGCTAGGGTTAGCTCAGAAATAGGCAACACATATTGGGTTTTTATCTTCCATCCATGTCTGAGCTCCAAGATATCGGGCTTGGCCACTCCGAGTCCCCATTGGGGGAGATGGTGGCGGGGTATAAATAAAGATGATGATGATTATTATTATTATTAGATCTACAAGAATATCCAGGAAAATCCACTCTTTAGTGGGCTGGAAATTCACTCTTGATTTGAATGCAGCTCTTTAGTACAGTTCTTCTTAGGCTGGACTCTACTCACAGGCTTGGAACCAATAAAAGTCATGTACATCTCAGGACCCCAAGTAATATCAAGAGTGATTTCAACTCTCAGATGACAATAAATCCGCCAGCCAGTTCTCAGTCCACGCACAGACCAAAACTTGCTTGGCTTCTGTGGCATCATGTTCTTCAGAACACACTTGGCAAGGAGGAAAAGGAAGGATATAAATAAAGGGGATTATAATCATTGATCAGGCTTGATCCTTCTTAGATCCCAAGGTCAGACCGGGTCTGGTACCCACAGGGTTGATGCTAATATGATGGTGATTTATAACACCCTTCCACCAAAGGGCAGAATGCACACTATGGCAAATTAGTGGAAAAAAAAGAATTGTCTCTGTGTTACTAATGTTGATGTTTTTTTCTGGTATGTTTGGATCTGGAGGGACTGCACCTCAAAATGGCAAAACTAGAGCATTTCTATATAGCTTGGCTCTTTCTTGCAGCTCCATTTGTAAAACAAAACAAACATTTTTTTTAAACTTCCATTTTTTTATTATATGAAGCATGACAAATTTATTCCAAAGTTATGTATAAATATTTTATGCTCCTTGGGTAACAAATGTTCTTTCAATCTGCAAAGGGAATGTAAATATAGCTGTCCTCCACATTTGCAGGTTAAGCATTTGTAGATTTCATTATTTGTGATTGCTGTATTTGCTATTATGTCTGTTGCTGTCCTACGTGCAGCTAAAAAAAGTTCTCTCCAGGCAATGTTAGGTCACCTCCTTGTTGGAAACTGACCACAGAATCATGCTGCAGGACCAAGAGACGCTAGACAAGTCCTCCCTCGAGTAATAAAATAGCAACTGTGATTTTTATTTATACTTGCAGTTTTTCTGCTTAGAACTCTCCAACCCGAATCCCCACAAATATGGACGGATTACTGTATTGCCTTTTCCCATAATTTTCCAAAAGAAACTCTTGATTTTTTTCCCTCATGGCTTCATAATTTCCATACATCTCACCCTTCTGGCCAGACCTCTGTGTCTTTGCCTATCTATTTGATAGTGGTGATCTGACCACAGCAGCACAACAGATTATAACAGTAGTAGTTGTCTTTATCCAAGCTTCTTTTACCTTCAGTATGGACAGGTATGAAAAATTCACCTTTTCCCCACCTGCAGGAGGCCAAAACCTCAAACCTTAATCAATGTGATCTAGTCCGCTAAACTACCTGTTCTTTACAGTGGCCACAGCAGCAGAAAGCTAGCGGAACTGTCTGTGATGATTAAACAGAAAACAGAGAGCATATTAGAATGACCCTGGATTTTGAAGAAACCCACTAGTTCATTTAGCTGCCAATGGGAATTGAGGACAAGAAGTGGTAAAAAGAAAAAAATAAATAAGCCATATTAAAAAATATATCCAAGGTCCTTCCCTGCAGTACTCTTCTTCAGAGCCCCTAAATCAGGTGCTACACTTCAAGCCTCACAAGTTATTTTCTCAGCCATCTGTGGCCAAAATTATAGAGGCCCCAAAGATCCCAACGTTCTGTCCAATCAGCTTCATTTGGTTCCAGAATTCAACTCGTCGGGAATCGTGCCAGTAACCCAAGTTGCCATCGATGAAGAGAATGACCAGAGGGAGAATGACTGACAGGATCTGGGCAGCTGGGGTGATATAGTATCCGGAGAGGAAAGAGAGGGCAAGGACCCCATAGAGCACAAAGAGAAGTTGCAGGGCAATTTCCCCACCAGGTATGCCACTGAGATAGGCATGGCGGTCTTCCTTGCTGTGCTGAAGGGAGTAGGCCTAGAAAAGAAAGAGAGATGCATGGAGAAAGTAGCTAAGAAAGAGTGCTTCTAGAGCTAAGTCTCAAACCTTGGCAGAGCCAGGTTAGGGATGCAAACACAGAAAATTGCTGGTTTGGGGCTCCAAAATATAGAAGCATGGAGTTGAAAGAGACCACAAAGGCAATCATGTCCAACCCCCTGCCATTCAGGAACACACAATCAAAAAACTCCCAATAGATGGCCAGTCCAGCCTGTTTAAAAATCTCTAGAAAATGAAACTCCACCACACTTTCAACTCTCACACTTCCTAACAGCTGGTAATCAGGCTGGTATTTCTGGGAGTTGAGGTCCAAAACACCTGGAGAGCTGACATTTGCCCATGCCTAGTTTAACAGCTCTGTCAGGAAATTCTTCCTAAGAAATTCTTCCAGGCACAGCCAGGCCATCAAATGCCAATCAAGGTGGTCAGTTGAAACATTCATACCTAGCTCCAGCAGACAAGAGTTCTTTGCCCCACCCTGGTCATTCCACAGATATATAAACTCAGTTTCTTCCAATCTGGAATCTAAAATGGCTCACATTAAATTTAAAAGCAAAATACAGCAAACACCTACATTTGGCCCACAGTATCCAAGAATTCTGTACATGGATTCAACCATCCATGGCTTGAAAATACACCAAACAACAACAAAATTCCAGAAGGCGAACCTTGATTTTGGCATTTTCTGTAAGGGACATCATTTTGCCACGACACTAAAGTAACACTGATGTGATGTCAGGAAGAATATGGAGCAAGATTAATCACTTACTATCCTGGCTGGGACTTCTGGAAATTGAAGTCTAAAATATTCAGTAAGTCAAAGATCCCTTGAATCAGTGTATTCTGCTTGCATGTTATAAAGACCTAGGGCATTTAACTTGAACTTGTTAAAGACAAAATAATCTTCAGGCCGCTGCCACCAGTTAAAATACTATGCTGAGGTGATTCTTATAGAGAATCTTTTAAGTCTTTGCTGCCACCAAATGTATAGAATCTGTTTCTCTAACTTGTTTAGAAATTTTTCAATAAAACTGCTTTAAATCTTTATACACAGAGGCACACATGAGGCAGATGTTGTGAACAATAAAACTATGATGTTTATTTAAGAGAACTGGAACTATTCAGGTATAAAGCTTAGCTGTTTCAAAATATTGACTGAAATTGTGTGGTTACTTTAAGCAGTTCAATTCTTAAACATTTCTTGGTTGCACTTAAACTCTTAACTCCCTCACAAGAATCTAGCAGTCTTCCCTCTGACTAGACTTCTTTGACTACAAACAGTCCTTTTCCTAGGATCTGTTCCTATTCAATATTCCAGCTATTCTTTCTCTAATAGCTCTTTGAATACTACTCTAATCTACCTTCTTTAAACCCCAGAGTCAATCTGACTCACTCAAACACAACTTATCTCTTCAATCTCTGCCTGTCAGAGTTTTAATTTTGTGTTGTTCATTCATTCAGTCGTCTCCGACTCTTCGTGACCTCATGGACCAGCCCACACCAGAGCTCCCTCTCAGCCGTCACCACCCCCAGCTCCTTCAAGGTTCAGAGTTTTAATACATCCCCTTAAAGTCTTTTTTTTTCTTTTGCCAAGTTAGGCTCCGCCCACTCTCTCAGTCAATCACTAACTTCCCTCATTTCCTTCCAAAGACTTTCTTCCTAAACATGCCCCCTTCAGGAAATAAGTAACTAAAATGGATTCCCCCGGTACCCTTTCCAAAATGGGTGCTGAACTTCTTGGGCCTACTTTTCTAGGCTTTTCCTAGCCTAATAGGTAGGGAATTCACTACACATTTCTATGCGGGTTTCTTTCGAGTGTTTTATTGATTCTTGACTTTCCAATTGACCCAAGATGCCTTCGACCAGGCTCAGTTCTATTTTTAAAATCTCCAACAATAGCAAATTTTGTTTATGGGAAGAGAAGCAAGGGGTATTTGGAATATTTTACAGAACATACCACACAAATGAGGTAGATGCCAATGAAAACCTGCCCAGTGGACTGCAGTGATCTGTTCCGGGGTTTCTGGCGGTAGATCTCTCCAGCGCCACTTGCCAAGATGAGGAGACCACCAATTATGGCTATCGTCCGTGAATACATCCTAACCTGTGTGGGAACCACAAAACAGACAGGAAAAATAAACAAAACACAACAAGTACAATGGAAGGAGGGCTGCTGGTTTTCTGCATTATATGTATGGTTAATAATGGGGCCCAAATTCAACCACTAGTCCCAGCTGGTGTGGACCCATTGAATCCATGAGATTTGTAGAAACTTGATTCAATGCATCTATTCTGATTGGGATTAGCAAATGCAATTAAAGACTTGCCTTCAAGCCACCCATTATTTCCATTGATTGATTCTCTATTTATCAACTGAGAAGAACAAATATTTCTCTACTCTACTTTAGAAATGATATATTTTTTGAAAAACAGGAAAGCTGGTGGCACAGTTCAGGCATAAAAAAACTCATCATATTTAGAAGTAAATACACAATCTATACACTTTTTCTCCTCAACTTCTGGATTAGTCTAAAATTTCTTAAAAGCTGGTGGCACAGTTCAGGCATACAAAACTCATCATATTTAGTACAAGCAAACACACCATCTATACATTTTCTCTCCTCTACTTCTGAATGAGTCTAAAACATCTTAAATTAACTGCAGTTTCCCATTAACCATAGTTTCCTATCACTTCTCATTTACAAAATAATGGGACACTAGGATAGATCAGTGGTTCTCAACCTGTGGGTCCCCAGATGTTTTGGCATTCAATTCCCAGAAATCCTAACAGCTGGTAAACTGGCTGGGAGTGGTAGGCCAAAATAACTGGGGACCCACAGGCTAAGAACCACTGGAATAGATCAAGATCATGATTTGGACATAAGGGGAATGGTAGAGTTCTACATTAAAATGTGGCAAAGGAAAACAGTAATGTGAGCATGGAGAAGGCAGTCATGAGGTTCATGCAGGTTTGAAATTATTGAGAAAACACCCGTGCATGTCAGGACCTGATCAAATTAATTCAAGTTAAATGGGGTGAGAAGCTGGGGTGCAAATGGGGCAGTGGGTACTAGTAAAATCCACGTAGTCCAGTGAGAAGCCAGGAATGTGCTCCAAAACAAAGGGCAATTTATCTCCTGGTAGATTGCTGGATTATCTGTAGCTCATATTGTTTATACGCTTTTATACTGTTTATACTGTGTTATATTGTTATTATTACATTACTGTTAATTGTATATTTATGTTTTGATGTGGGCGCCATGGGGCACCACTTTGTTAGCCGTCCTGAGTCCCTCTGCAGAGGTTGAGAAAGGATGGGATATAAAAGCCCTAAATAAATAAATAAATAAATAAATAAATTAGCAAGAATGTTTGGCTTTCACCTAACAGCAGGAACTAGATAACACCCACATCCAATCAATTCCTTAAATTATACTAATGAAATGAACAGAGCTTGGGGAAACCAGACATAGATTTACAGTTGGTAGGAGAATTAGTTGAATGCTGTTACAATACGCAAGACAACTTCCTATGATCCAAATTCTTCTATTGTAAATTTGGCATTTGGGGGACATGTCAAGGTCCTAGTAAACAAACGTGTCCATCACTGATGAATAAAAAAAGAAAGCTGTCTTGTATTGTTGTTGTTGTTCATTCGTTCAGTCGTCTCCGACTCTTCGTGACCTCATGGACCAGCCCACGCCAGAGCTCCCTGTCGGCCGTCACCACCCCCAGCTCCTTCAAGGTGTCTTGTATTACATTAAGCTATTTGTCAACCTAGTTCACTACAATCTACTCTGACAGGTAACTACTCTCTTGGGTATCAAGCAGAAGTCTTTAGGATATCAACTGCTCCCAATTCCTTTTTTAAAATGGATGAAACCAGAATGAAATTTTGAACATACATGCTCTCCCACTCAGATACAGCTCCTTTCTTTCCTAGTACAGTCTTATAATAATCTTTGAGGACCAGTAAGCCCAGCATGTTTTCACCTTTAGCCAATCTCCATAGTGAGTGTAGCCTCCAATATACGCTGCATATGTGCTGACCACAAGCTGTAGGGCAGCCCCCAGGGCAAACCACCGGCGCTTTACTCCAAAGGACATGAAACTGGCACAGAGCACTGCGGCACCCATGTCAAAGTAGAGAAATGGGACCTGGATATCTGGTTTTCTGGGTAAAGAAATAAATTCAGAAAATTAATTGGTGTGTTTAGTTTTTTATTCTGAATATAGACTCAATTGTAGAGGATGAAAAGATACCCAGTCTAGGGCTCTAAATACAACATTTAAAAAAAACATTGGCAACCCAACATAAAAAGTGTTCTTTGTGTCATCTCTTCTTCAAATCTCCCTTGAGTTCAGAGTCTCAAGGTTTCAGAAAGGAGGAGCAGTTACAAGTCAGGAGAGGAAAACATCTGGTTCTTATTTGCAGTTTCAGCTACCAGAAACTCCAGCCATCATGACCAATGGTAAGATACCGTGGGTGTTGCAGCACAAAACATCTGGAGCCCCAAAGGTTTGGCAGTCATATAGAACTACTTCTACAAGATACAACATAGAAACTCTAAACTCAAGAGAGATTTGAGTGAGAGATGTCACAAAGAACGTTCTAACTCCAGTACCTCCATCCCAAACATTACCAGCTACATTTGATACATCACTTCTCTTTTATTTATGCACAATGTTCTGTCATCCTCTCTTCCTCTCCCTAGAATTATACATCCCAGTATAATGCACAGAAAGCATTGACAAGAACGACACGTATCTACTATCTATGAATACTCTTCAGAAGCTACCTGACTACATGGATATCACTCAATGTGCTGGCGAAAGCTTCCATAGCCGGAATCACTGAGTTGCTGTGAGTTTCTTTGGGACTATATGGCCATGTACCTCTAAAGATGCCAGAACTTCTGAAGATGACAGTCACAGATGCATGTGAAGCATCAGGAGAGAATGCTTCTGGAACATGGCCATACAGTCTGAAAAACTCAGAGCAACCCAAATTGAGTATCCCTTATCTGGATAGTCAAAATCTGAAAAGCTCCAAAATCCAGATGGTTGATTGAGATAGTGACACCTCTGCTGTCTCATGGTTCAACGTACAAAAAACTTTGGTTAATGCACATAATTATATAAAAGACTGTGTATAACATTAACTTCAGGCTATGTGACTATGACAGGCATGAGCAAACTTCAGCCCTCCAGGTGTTTTGGCTTCAACTCCCACAGTTCTTAACAGCCCACTGGCTGTTAGGAATTGTGGGAGCTGGAAATACGAACACCTGGAGGACTGAAGTTTGCCCATGCCTGGACTAAGGTACACATGAAATATAAATGAGCTCTGCCTTTAGACTTAGGACCCATTGCCAAGGTATTCCAAAATCTGGAGAAAGAAAACCCCTGAAATCCAAAACGCTTTTGGTCCCAAGCACTTTGGATAAGGATATTTAAACGTATATCAACCCTTTCCTGTAGATTAGGTGATGGATTAGGAGTGCATCTATGCTGCAAAATTAATCCAGTGGGACACCACTTTAACTGCTGGGGGTGGTGGGATATTTAGTTTACAGAGGCACCATTACTTTTGGAGCAGAGAAAGCTAAGGAACATGGAAAACTACAGCTCCAAGCAATCCACAGCATTGAAAGTGGTATGAAACTGGATGAATTCTATGGTGTAGATCAGGAATAGGCAAACTTCAGCCCTCCGGATGTTTTGAACTTCAGCTTTCACAATTCCCAGCAGTTACAAACTATGTTCAATGTATTGTCGAAGGCTTTCATGGCCGGAATCACCGGGTTGCTGTAAGTTTTTAAGGCTGTATGTCCATGTTCCAGAAGCATTCTCTCCTGATGTTTCACCTGCATCTACGGCAGGCATCCTCAGAGGTTGTGAGGTCTGTTGGAAACTAGGAAAATGGGTTTATATATCTGTGGAATGTCTAGCGTGGGAGAAAAACTCTTCTCTGTTTGAGGTAGGTGTGAATGTTTCAATTGGCCACCTTGAGTAGGATTTAATGGCTTAGCAGTTTTCAAGGTGTCACTTCTTACTGCCTGGGGGAATCCTTTGTTGAAAGGTGATTAGCTGTCCCTGATTGTTTCTTGTCTGGAGTTGTTTATTTACTTTTATGATTTTAGAGTTTTTTAAATACTGGTAGCTAGATTTTGTTCCTTTTCATGGTTTCTTCCTTTCTGTTGAAATTGTCCACATGCTTGTGGATTTCAATGGCTTCTCTGTGTAGTCTGACATGGTGGTTGTGGTGGTCCAGCATTTCTGTGTTCTCAAATAATCTGCTGTGTCCAGGTTGGTTCATCAGGTGCTCTGCTATGGCTGACTTCTCTGGTTGAAGTAGTCTGCAGTGCCTTTCCATGTTCCTTGATGCGTGTTTGGGCAATGCTGCTGCGTTTGGTGGTCCCTATGTAGCACTTGTCCACAGCTGCATGGTATACGGTAGACTCCTGCAGAAGTGACAGGATCCCTCTTGTCCTTTGCTGAATGTAACATTTGTTGTATTTTCTTGGTGGGTCTGTAGATAGTTTGCATGTTGTGTTCCTCATCAGCTTCCCTATGCGGTCAGTGGTTCCCTTGATGTATGGCAAGAACACTTTTCCTCTGGGTGGATCTTTGTCTTTACTCTCGTGGCTTTTTCTTGGTCTTGCAACTCTTCTGATGTCTGAGGTGGAGGGAAGTGTGAATGTTGCAATTGATACCCTGATTAGCACTGAATAACCTTGCAGCTTCAAAGCTTGGCTGCTTCCTGCCTGGGAGAATCCTTTGTTGGGAGATGATTAGCTGGCCCCAATTGTAGATTTGTCCACAACTACCATACATCATGCAGAAAAGAATGCTTCTGGAACATGGCCATATTGCCTGAAAAACTTACAGCAACCCAGCCATAGACTGTTAGGAATTGGGGGAGTTGAAGTCCAAAACAGCTCGGAAATTCCAATTGGTCCAACGGGCAGCAGCCAGGATGCTAACTGGGGCTCATTACAGAGAGAGGTCAACCCTCCTGTTTAAGGAGCTCCACTGGCTGCCATTTATTTTCCGAGCCCAATTTAAGGTGCAGGTGCTTACCTACAAAGCCCTGAACGGTTTGGGACCACCCTACCTGCATGACCGCATCTCCGTCTACGAACCCACACGTTCACTTAGGTCATCTGGAGAGGCCCTGCTCGTGATCCCACCTGCGTCGCAGGCACGTTTGGTGGGGACGCGAGACAGGGCCTTTTCTGTGGTGGCCCCCCGACTCTGGAACGCCCTCCCCAAAGATCTTAGACAGGCCCCTACATTGGCAGTCTTCAGAAAGAACTTGAAGACCTGGCTGTTCCGATGTGCCTTCTCAGATTAGGAACCCCAATACCAAGTCCTAGAAGCACTTTAGTAGAATTAAGATCACTGCACACCGCACATTGCACTTACTTTATAATCCTACGTTTCTCCCGCCATTTCAGCACTTTTAATCTTGTACCCACTACTCTGGCCGGCCCAGTTTTAAAGTGTCTTGACGTATTGTTGTTGTTTATTCTGCTTAACTGTTTTTAATTTGCTTTAGGTATTGTTTTGTTATACTGTGTTTTTTGTTGTGTTGAGGCCTCGGCCTTTGTAAGCCGCATCGAGTCCTGCGGGAGATGCTAGCGGGGTACAAATAAAGTTATAATAATAATAATAATAATAATAATAATAAAACACCTGGAGGGCCGAAGTTTGCTCATGCCTGGTGTACAATGCTGAGAGAGCGGATTTCAAATCCTTGCTTGGTCATAAAAACCCATTACCTAGCGCAGGGTCACACATTCTCAACCTCAAAGGAAGGTCCTTCTCAACCAATCTTGCCATGAAAACTCCATGAGAGGCTCGCAGTTAAGTCGGAAACTACTGGAAGGCAGACAATAACAACGACAAACAACCCTTCCAAGGCGCCTCTGCCCACTTTTAGCCTTCTCCTCCTCCTCCTCCCTCGTTCCCAAACCCCCAAATAATGAGAGTCGGCGTGTGTTGAGGGGTGGCCTCTCTGCGCATGCTCAGAGGCGCCCTCCACTCGCTTGCTCACCGCCGGGCCTCTGCGCGCTCGGCGTTGAGGAGGAGGCTGCTGAGGCAGTGCCAGAACGGGAAGCGCGTGAGCAGCACCGAGCCCACCCGCATCAACAGGCGCAGCGCCCCGCGCCTCCGCCGCCCGGAACCCCCGCTGCCCGCCGCCATCTTCTGCCAGGGCGGAACCACGGGCCCGGCACTCTATCGCCAGCCCAGCCAGCGCGGGTCCGTCTCCGCCTCACTCCCTCTTCCAGTCCGGTCCAAAAATAGTCCCGGGCTGGAACAAACTCCTAAGGACGCAAGGTTCCGCGCTGCTCACCTAGTTCCAACAAGGAACCCATTCTCCTCCACTTCAGCGGCTCCCTTTCCCTTAAAGGGACAGGCTTGTATTTTTTGAGTGATTCCTTCTGTGCCATTACTGCAGGCATGGGCAAACCTCGACCTTCCAGGTGTTTTGGACTTCAACTCCCACAATTCGTAACAGCCAACCGGAGTGAAGAAGGGGAGGCAGGAAGAGGAGGAAAGAGACACAGGGTTCAGTAACAAATCTCATACTCCAGGCCTGGGCCTACCAGGCATTTTGGACTTCAACTCCCACAATTCCTAACAGCCATGCTGTTCTGGCTGTTAGGAATTGAAGTCCAAAATGTCTGGAGAGCCCAAGTAGGCCCAGATCTGCACACATATACAAACAACACATACATGCATATATATATATACATGAGGAGCCCCCGGTGGCACAGTGGGTTAAAGCACTGAGCTGCTGAGCTTGTTGATCGAAAGGTCACAGGTTTGATCCCGGGGAGTGGCGTGAGCTTCCGCTGTCAGCCCTAGCTTCTGCCAACCTAGCAGTTCGAAAACATGCAAATGTGAGTAGATCAATAGGTACCGCTCCGGCGGGAAGGTAACGGCGCTTCATGCAGTCATGCCAGCCACATGACCTTGGAGGTGTCTACGGACAACGCCGGCTCTTCGGCTTAGAAATGGAGATGAACACCACACCCCAGAGTCAGACATGACTGGACTTAATGTCAGGGGACTACCTTTACCTATACATATACATATATAACCACATAAATACAGGGGTCCACAAACTTTTTAAACAGAGGGCCAGGTCACGGTCCCTCAAACTGTTGGAGGGCCGGATTATAATTTGAAAAACACATGAATGAATTTCTATGCACACTGCACATATTTGTAGTGTAAAAAAACACTTAAAAACAATACCATAATTAAAATTAAGAACAATTTTAACAAATATAAACTTTTGGCTGATGAGAGGATTGTTGTTGTTGTTGTTGTGTGCTTTCAGACTTAGGTTGACCCTGAGCGAGGGCCGGGTAAATGACCTTGGAGGGCCGCATCCGGCCCCCGGGCCTTAGTTTGGGGACCCCTGCATAAATACATATATACACACATACATAACACAACACACACACATATATACACATATGCATGCACATACACAGATATACATACACATATACATATGCAAACCACACATGCACACACATGCACAGATATACATACACATATACATATACACATGCAAATCACACATTTATACATATACACATGCACACACATATAAGACATATACAGATACATTGCCCACCTAGATAACTTTCGAAAAGTCTTACACCCTAACAGCCTGGCTTCTTCCTCCCTACAGAAAGCTGTCAGCCCTAGCTTCTGCCAACCTAGCAGTTCGAAAGCATGCAAATGTGAGTAGATCAATAGGTATTGCTCCAGCGGGAAGGTAACAGCGCTCCAGGCAGTCATGCCGGCCACATGACCTTGGAGGTGTCTATGGACAATGCTCTTTGGCTTAGAAATGGAGATGAGCACAATGTCCCAGAGTCAGACATGACTGGATTTAATGTCAGGGGACAACCTTTACCTTAGTATAGTACAATATAGTAATACATACTATTGCTGTTCTGTGCTAAAAATATATATTGTATACACATATAATGTTGATAATATTATAATGCAATACACTATAATAATAATACAATATAATTATATATTTTATGTTACATGTAATATTATCAATAATATTACAGTATAGTGCTATAGTACAATATAGTAATATATAAACCTAATATTGTGTTCTGCCAATAATATAATATTTTGTATGTACATATAACTTGTAAGCCTCTCTGAGTCTCTTTCGGGGTGAGAAGGACGGCATATAAATGTCGTAAATAAATACATGCCTGTATTAATGGCTGTGGGAGAGACAGAAATTCAACCTGTTAAGTTTTCTCCTGGAATTGGAGAATGGAATGGAGCTAAGACAAGGTGGCATCAAAGCTTTGCAAATATGTTGTGTGGATACTATTATCTGTTATTGCAGATATGTGTCTGTGTGTCTGCAATAACGGAGAATATAATATATGGTTACAATACTGTAGACTTAGATCCCTTCCACACTGTCCCTATATCCTAGGGTCCGATCACAGATTGTTGCTTTACACTGGATTATATGAGTTTCTATTGCCAGATAATCTGGGATAAGAAGACAATCTGGGATCAGATCCTGGGATATAGGGGCAGTATGGAAGGGATCTAATCTCAATTCCATTCTCCAGTTCCAGGAGAAAACTTAACAGGTTGAATTTCTGTCTGATTGTTTCTTCTCTGGGGTTCCCCTATGTTTTAGTTTTGTTTTTTATTTATTGTTATGATTTCAGAGGTTTTTTTTATATTGGTAGCCAGATTTTGTTCATTTTCATAGTTTCGCCATTTCTGTTGAAATTGTCCATATGCTTGTGGATTTCAGTGGTTTCTCTATGTAGTCTGACATGGTGGTTGGTAGAGTGGTCCAACATTTCCGTGTTCTCAAATAATATGCTGTGTCCAGGTTGGTTCATTAAGTGCTCTGCTATGGCTGACTTCTCTGGCTGAAGTAGTCTGCAGTGCCTTTCATGTTCCTTAATTCATGTTGGGACGATCTGTTTGGTGGTCCCTATGTAGACTTGTCCACAGCTGCATGTCGTATGTAAGTCAGATGTTTATATCTCAGGGACTGCCTGTACTAGAGTTAAACAGCATTATATGAGTCTGCACTGACTATATAATGCAGTTTCAAACTGCATTATATGGTAGTGTAGATGTGGCCTATGTCACCATATCTTACAAGAAGGTCACAAGTTGGGGAAAAGGCACTATGTCATTGTCACTGACATGCCACTCAAACCTGGCCTTTCGAGACAGGTTCTGATTATCATTAAGGATAAGAGAATTGGGCTCCAGGCTTGCAGACCAACTTGTTTGTTGTTAATGGTCAATAACATTTTTTGCAGAGTCCTCAAAGAATTGCAAGGAAAGACATTTAAGAGGTCAGGTTCTTAATACAAACACAATGGATGCGAGCTGAGTGGGATTGTTGTACATGAAAACAAGGATAGGAATGACGTTTGCATCCTGCATCCAGCAGAGTCTGTTTCTAGGCTGTGAGCCACGGCTTGGCTCTCCGGTTACCACCTCACATGTGCTGATGTCAGGTGTCTTATAAGGAGAGAGCATGAATGCTATAACCGGACACCCCTCCCTTGTTCCCTTGCCCTGCGTAGGAGGCTGGTTCCTATGCCTCTGTTTTGTGAATGGAATTCCTTTCTGCTTCAATTCAGCAAAGGCAGGCTTACTGCCAAAACAGCGGGAAGGAGAGAGGTTCAAAGTGATGCAATACTCTCTGTTTCTCAAGATTTCTGAATATGCCAGTCTCATGCTCCTTAGATCTGATGGCAAGGAGCTGAGGGAAAGAAAGTGTGTAACTAAAAAAGAGGCTAAGTTGCAGGGAAACTATGCACCCAAGAATTCTTGCTGAAGTCTCGAACCACAGAGAAGAGGTTGAGCAAATATTTGGCAGAAGCTGGGCGTTTTGAATAATGCAAGATACAAACCTGAAGTGGGGAAAATTAATCCTGTGAGCCACGCATGACCCTTAAAATCCAGAAAAGTCACAACACACACTATGGCCCTAACGTGCATATATCCCATGGGCTGCACTAGTCCTATCTGGCATACAGCAATATAATTACCTTTTCTATTAGAATCATAGAGTTGGAAGAGACCACATGGGCCATCTAGTCCAACCCCTTGCCATGCAAGAAAAGCACAAAGTATCCCTGACAGATTGCTATCCAGCCTCTGTTTAAAGTTTCCAAGGAAGGAGCTTCCACCTCACTCCAAGGCAGAGAGTCCCACTTTGGAACAGCTCATATGGCTAGGAAGTTCTTCCTAATGTTCAGGTGGAATATTAAAATAGCTATATTTTGTCATTCATTTGTGTAGTTGGTCAAACATTCCACATGTGGTGCATATAAGATGGTTCACCCTTTAGAAGGGAGAGGTGGGGGCAGACATTTTATGACAATGTGGATTTTTGCTACTGTGGATTATATATGGTACTCTTGAACTGCCATGGCATGGAAAGTGGGTACTGTTGCCAGAATTTGATTTGAAAATGGAAGAAAAGCAGAGAACAAATTGACAACCACTGGCAGTTGGTATGCATGCGAGAGTCAACTTCAGTTTATTCAAAGCCTGATTTTTAGGCAATCAGAAGTGGCCAATTCTCACATTGTTTCAACTTTAGATGACATCTGGAAGGTTGCGGTAGGATGTGCTCCAGAACTGCACATATTGGTTGCGCAAACCATGTTTTACTGAATCATAGTTGAGGTCCTTGTTGATCTCCAGGTAGTAGCCCTGCTGAGTGTCATATGGAACCCAGCCAATCGGTACAGATAATTCCCCTTTGTTGGGGTCACTAGGAGAGGAAGAAGAACACATACACTCAGTATCAGTTCATACTTGTCTTTGTCCTTTGAAAATACAAAACAGAAGAGGTTCATTAGGGGCTGCCAACGATTGCAATAATGGAAAAGAAGTCTGAAGAAGGAACGTCTAAATAACTGGTTGCATTAAGGCTGGAGACAAGAGAAAACTGAGCAGGGAAGGAGACAGCTCTCTTCACAGACCTGCCACACAAAATTATAGCGCTCTGTGAAGTCATGCTGGCCACATGACCTTGGAGGTGTCTATGGACAACACTGGCTCTTCTGCTTAGAAATGGAGATGAGCACCAAGCCCCAAAGTCGGACACGACTGGACTTAATCTCAGGGGAAAACCTTTACCTACCTTTATGCCATTTTAATTGCTATGGTTACAGCCAAGATGCACCAACACCTGAACATCTTTTCCCTTAATGGAAAAGGACTGGAGAGAAACAAAACTTATCCTGAAGGCCTCTTACCCTGTGTGAGCAAAGTTTGTCCAGTAGGCAATCATAGCCTTGGAAACAGTTCTGTCCTGTGGCCGATAGCCCAATGGTGTGACAAAAGGTTTCCCAAAGACATACTGTAGATCGTCAGCATGGTCGGCCCCGACCCAGCTAGGGTAGATCAACATTCGAGATGGCTGGGAAAAGACGTAACTGTATGTCCTGGCACTCCTACACCCAGAAAGAGAGGGAGAAAATGAATCTTTTCTGTAGATTATCTTCATTAACTTTCAACTGGAGTTATACATTACTTTGTTGTTGTATGCTTTCAAGTTATTTCCAACTTATGACAATCTCAAGGCAAAGCTATCATGGGGGTTTCTGGGCAAGATTTGTTGAAAGGGAGTTTGCTTTCGTCTTCCTCTGAGGCTGAGAGTATAATGACACTGAGAAAGTAAATCATCCATCAGCCCCAAAATAAAAGATTGCGTTTTTTAACTGGATTTCAGTGTGTGGCTCACCCAAGAACACCCAGTTGGTTTCCATGGCCGAGTGGCGATTCAAATCCTGGTCTCTAAGTGTTCTAGTCCAACATTCAAATTAGTATTGCGTGCTGACTCAATGCTAAAAATTTGGGGACGTCTAGAAAGAACCGTTTATATGATAAGCGGAATTCTTACTTGGGAGTTCTGTTCCCTTTGCAAGTAATAAGAATAGTTGGGCTCATTTGAAAGTGGCACTGCTATGAGATTTTTTTAGAAGAAGCATGGAAATAGTAGGGTCCTATAAGATATGGTCAGACTGTGGCTTCCATTAGCTAAACAGAGCTTCAGGCCAAAAATATCTGGGTAGGGGGGCTACATTTGCTAACTTCTGTCCAAGAACAAAACAATAAAAGAAGTCTTATAGATTTAGATAGCATTTTTCTTTGGGAGAAGTGTTAGAAATGAAAAACTTCTTCAAGCTTTCTCTACTAATGTTTATCTATGATCCTGTTGCTTACTGTTTCCTGTATTATGTTTTGGTATGCAGCTTCCTTTACTCTATGTGAAGCCACTCTGAGTCCCCATTGGGGTTGAGAATGGCAGGGTACAAATATACTAAATAAATAAATAAATAAATAAATAAATAAATAAAAAAATGGTTCCTGAAAAATTACAAAAGGGGCTGCAGACTACTACAGATTTCTTCAGACCTCAGATCACACACTTGTTTGCTGCTTTGCTCTAAGAGAGATGTCTTGGCCGGATGGCACAGAGAATTATCTCAAACATATCTGAAACTGGACTGATAAGTTTTGTACCTGTATATGCTGAAAACATGAAAGTTGTGAGTAAACCAAGTATGTTATTTTTTTCAAAGTCTACTTCATTTTTGTATCTTGAGTGCATGATATAAAACAAATTGTTTTATTGGAGCGTATATATTTTGGGGCACTGAAAAACACTTCTGAAGCACTGCTGTTTTTATGCACTGGCAAATCTCTGTTTTCATAACAGATCAGAGACAACAGGTTATTCATAGAATCATAGAATCAAAGAGTTGGAAGAGACCTCATGGGCCATCCAGTCTAACCCCCTGCCAAGAAGCAGGAATATTGCATTCAAATCACCCCTGACAGATGGCCATCCAGCCTCTGTTTAAAAGCTTCCAAAGAAGGAGCCTCCACCACACTCATGGTAACAACTGAAACCATTTCCTTGTATAATTATATCTCGTTGTATACCACAACAGAAGATTCTACTCTAAAGAGTTTTTGGCTGTTCTCTGAAAGGTCATCCTTTTCTAAAACATGATCTTCAAAAAGTGGTTATGGATGCCATTTCAAAAAAGAAATAACTCCACAATTGTGGCATCACAATTATTTTAATATATATCTGCTAAACTGTGTATGTTTTTAATTAATTTTTAAATGTGGTATATAATTTTAATTGTCTTTTTAACTTTAATTGATTCTACTTAAGGTGGCTTCCAAGAGCAACGTTAAGTCCCACACTGGAAGAAAGGAGGCTTATATATTAAATAAATAAATTCCCCCCCCCCCCCCAAAGGATCACATTTTGGGGAGGAATGAACAGCTCTCTCCTCTACGAACTCACTTTGCATGTTGATGATGTAAAGCCAGGGTCTGCTGGGTGGGAACTAGAAATATATAATCGGTCTCCAGGTCGATCACGGTTCTTTTCATGACTTCTTGGTTCACGCTGTCGGTCCACACCTGGGTATATAGGGAGAAGGTTCTGAATGCTCCCTCCACCCCCTTCTCCATAGTCAGCCCTTGAGCGACAGTATAAACATCTTCCCTATTAAAAACAAAGAAAGAAATAAGATGAGTCTGAGAAAGTGTCACCCAGTTGGTTTTCCAGCAGGGATTCAAATCCTGATCTCCAGGATCATATCCAACACTCAAGTCATGTTGACTATAAGCCAGTGGTTCTCAACCTATGGGTCTCCAGGTGTTTTAGCCTACAACTCTCAGAAATCCCAGCCAGTTTACCAGCTGTTAGGTTTTCCGGGAGTTGAAGGCCAAAACATCTGGGGACCCACAGGAAGAGTCAACACAAACCTTGTGAACTAATATATCAGACATTCAGTAGAAATCAAAAACAAGCAAGGCCTGTGCTGTTACGCCCAGACACTTTAAAATAAAACTTTGACGTGCTGCTATCTAGGTCTGGGCAAACTGCTGGGGTCTTTCTTTAGAAGATTGAGCTTTCTTGAATAACTGAGTCCACTTCAAGTTTGAAACATCAAACAGGGTATTTATTCACGAAGTCCTGGTAGACTTGGCTCAGCTTATCAATATTACAAAACAAACAGTCAATTGGGGTTCAGTAGTTGAGGCAGCCTTTCTCCAAAAAGGGTAAAATGAATTCTGGAATCCTTTTCCCAAACCCTGAGCCCTTATGGTCAGAAAAGGACAGGCTTTTCCTCTATCTATAGGCCTGGATCAGCTTTGGAGGCAACTGCTCAATACTAGCTATCGCTCAATAAAGTCAATATTCCATTAACTTCTCTATAACTATCTAGATAATCCTCTATAACTATCTAAATAGTTCTCTTTTAATCTATCTCTAACTAAATAACTCAATCAAACTCAATTGTTTTCTATCTATGACTCAATTGTTTTTACAATGATATCTTCGGAGGTACCTGTCTGCCAACAGCACATCATGAATTCTTCCTTAAGACTGAAGGGGCAGGGAGACCTCCAAAATGCATGCTTCTACCCTGGAAGCAGGGGCAGGCCCAAAGAGCTACTCTCTGGGCCAATCATTGCAGAGAGCCTGCAAACTGGCTTTCCTGCCTCTGGCTGCTAACCTTTTAGGCCTTGCAGAGGCTGCTGCAGCCTGGGAGAAACACAAGGAGAGGCTGTTTCCAGCAACTAAAAGGTAATGCAAAACCCATGCTCCTGGGAGACGAAACAAGGCCACCTCTAGTTTTGGAAGAAGCAGGTTTGAAAACATGGCCATTCCTGTGAACAAAACCAATGCTCATGCCTCTTTTCATCCATCATAGTACCCCCACTTACGGTGTGATTTTCTTAAGTGGACGATTGAGGGCAGGCATGTCAATTGAGGCAAAGAAATGGCCATCCATGTTGTTCACCCCGGCAATGTAATCAATGTCGGCAGCATTGTCAAAGAGATTTTCCGGTGCATCTGGTAGGAAATCACCATCAACCACAGGGGAGAAAGCAAGGTAATGGACAAGTGGATCTGTAAAGGAGGAGATTTAAACATCACTTAAAACACAAATACATACCATGAGTGGGAAATGGCAAATTACAACACATTTAAATTCCTATTTCACATGATATACAAAACCCAATGGGCAGAAACCCTTTTTTGAAATAAGATGACCCTATGAAAGTTATGGAACATTTCTTCCTCTTGAAAGCATGCTAGAGCCTTGGATACTCTTTGCAGACATAGGAAGATATCTTTCAAATGGAACATTTTGTTTTTCTTTTAATTAGGAAGCCAATAGAAGATGACTCAATTTTCTTTGAAACTGCAACCTTGAATGGATTCACCACTTCCCAGCCCTTGTGCACGTTCTCCATACCAGATAAAAACAGCAATGTGCAGGGCCAAGCGATATCAGAATGTGATCAAGATGGCAAAAGTTATTAACAAGCAAAAATGCACAAAGTAGGAAAGCCTGCAGTAGTTAGATTTGCCTCAGCCTACTGGGAAGGGCAAGATTTTACCCCCTTCTGGCTTCTCACCCCTGATTTACTTGACTGCAAATATTTTTGCACTTTGAATTCAGTTTGCAATGACTGAAGTATATTGAGGACAAAGGGGGAAAATGTGGCAGGGGAGAGCGAGGGAAAGAAATGCATAGAATTAATTAGGACTGCCTCTCTCAGTCCGGAGCCCCTGGTGGCACAGTGGATTAAAGCGCTGAACTGCTGAGCTTGTTGACCGAAAGGTCACAGGTTCGATTCCAGGGAGCGGCGTGAGCTTCCACTGACAGCCCTAGCTTCTGCCAACCTAGCAGTTCGAAAACATGCAAATGTGAGTAGATCAATAGGTACCACTCTGGCAGGAAGGTAATGGCACTCCATGCAGTCATGTTGGCCACATGACCTTGGAGGTGTCTATGGACAACGCCGGCTCTTTGGCTTAGAAATGGAGATGAGCACCACACCCCAGGGTCAGACATGACTGGACTTAATGTCAGGGGACAACCTTTACCTTTTACCTCTCAGTCCAGGACAGATATTACTGAAGCACAATGTGTGTGCAGTTTAGTAGTTGTTGTTACTATGATCGTCTTATAAGCATGCCTTGTAGAATAAACATGTCATTTACCCGCCCCCCCTGCCCCGCAATGGGGTTTCTTTGCCTCTATTACACCAGCCACAACCTTGTTTCAGTCTCACTATCAGCTTACATTTTAGGCCAATGACATCAAGGTGGTAGCCAAGGGTCAGAGCTGCAGGGTCAGTGACCTTCAGGCAGTTTGCCATGGTGGTGGTGTTGTCCGTGGGGCAGCCCACTTTCTCAGCCACCTATAAGACACCATTTGTGTATTTTTATATACTTATGTATCCAAACATTTGCATTCCACCCTTCATCATAAGAGCTCGGGGTGGTGTACAATAAAATCAATTTGGTCAAATAAAAACAATAAACAACACAATGATTTTGAAACGCTAACAAAAACTTGAATAATAATATAATAATAACTTTTTTTATATACCCTGCCTCCATCTCCCCAAAGAGACTCGGAGCGATTTACATGGGGCCAAGCCCAGTAACACAAAGTTAAAAACATAGCATATAAAAGATAACAATAATATAAAACATCATTAAAACAATATTATAACAATAATAAAACAATAATCATAAGCAACAACCAAGAACATAGTTCAAGTCTCATTGTGGGAGGCGGGCTGGAGTGCAAACAGGTTAGAAAAAAGGCTAATTAGTAAGGTGCATACATAATGTAGCAACATAAGGATAAGACTTTGAAAGTGCAGTAGCAAAGTGCAGAGACATAATATTTTTAGGCCCAGAATTAGAACCAACAGTCAAGAGAATTGTTTAATCAAATGTGCAATGGAACATCCACGCCTAGTTCCTGACGAAACGTGGAAAGGGAGGGTGCTAGCCTGATCTCCCTGGGGAGGGAGTTCCAGAGCCAAGGGGCCACCACTGAGAAGGCTCTCTCATGCCCACCAATCGGGGATGGGAATGGGAGAAGAGCATCCCCAGAAGATCTTAGAGATCGTGTGGGTCCATAGGGGAAGATGCAGTCACGCAAATAGGCAGGTCTCAAACCATTTGAATGCTTTAACAAGCTAAAACAAGACAGATTAAAGGCAGTAACAATGATTTAAGGCAATTCCAAACCATGAAATGGGCGGATGTTTATAATACCAGCTAGGTTTTCGTAAATAATCATGTTTTTACTCCGCAGAATGGCAGCAATGTATGAGCCAGTCGGGCATCCATGGGGAGATTATTTCATAATATTGTGGTTGTTAATTAAATTGATAGTTTATCATTTTCATTTTATTCTGTTGAATTATTATTAGCCCCCTTGGATCTCACTTTGAGAAAAAGACAGGTTATAAATCCAATAAATAATGACTGGAGTGCTGGCGGAAGCTGACCATAGAATCATGCTGGAAGGCTTAGAAATTCCTAGAGAGATGAGGGTAAAAATGGTATTCATACTTCTTTCTTTTTTCTTTTACAGTCACGAGAATCCTGTGACCTTAACTGCAACAAATGTGGGGGGCTGATTGTAATTGTTATTTTGCTGTCAAATGTGATGCCTCATTTTACCTTGGTAGCCCAGAAGAGAGGGTCCTTCTGAATGGCCCATGAGCAAAGACCAACTCCACTCTGAGTGATGGCCCGTTTGATCAATCCTTTGTTGTGTGGGGATAGCATCTAGAGGGCAGGAAATAAGAGAAAACATAAGAGGAAAGCCTCGCTGACTTTCCTTCATCAGAATAGTCAAAATGATCTGAATTAGTTCATAACGCCACCACTATTTAGTCATACAAAACTAGCTACAATAACATGTTAGAATCCTATTGATGGGAAGGATCCCAAGAGTTTATCTCCTGCCAGGGTAGAAAATCCACAAATAAAAACCATTATTCTAAACTCTACACACCATTATCTACTAGGGATGTTATTATTCACTAATTTTCTTCTCAAAGAAGGCAACAAGTAATTTTAACACATTTCTTCCCATTTCAAGAAATCTTGAAAGCTTATTCATAATTTGCATATAGGGTTTTTGTTTTTTGTTTTTTGGACTGAAAACAACATACTATGCACAGGAAAAGGTGTTTCCTGAACAAAAAATACTGTTTTAATTATTTGGTTATTTCTACCCCGCTTTTCTCGTACCCAAAGGTTGTTTTCTAAGCAAAACAACCAAATTTGCATTTCGAGTAAGATTCCATCCACACTTTAGAATCAATGCAGTTTGACACCACTTCAACTGCCATGGGAGTTGCAAAGGTATTCAGCTCTATCTTCCAAAGAAGTGCCTCACCAAACTACAAATCTCACCAAACAACAAATCTCATCATTTCATAGTATTGAGTCATGACAGTTAAAGCAGCGTCAAACTGTATTAATTCTACAGTATAGATTCACCTTTGGCCTCAAATTGTCATGATTCTTGTTAGTCCAATGCAGGCATGTAGCCAGGTGGGGGGGGGGGGGGCAATTCTCATGGTGGTCCGCGAGAAGGCCTTACTGGTACATTATTTAAACTGTTATGTTTATTCATATCATGATCTGATCACTATGCTCAATATATCCCATATGCATGGGGGTATTGGGGTAACGATACAAAAGGTTTGCTAGGGTAGACCCTCTTTCACTCAGCCTCCCCCCCCCCCCCCCCCCCCCCCGAAACAAAATCCTGGCTACGGGCCTGGTCCAACGTTAAACTTGTCAGGGCTTCTCAACATTTTGAAAAACCCCAGGAGAGATGACAATTACCAAATATCAACAGTAATCCTCAATGACCTGTTATATGACTTTGCATATACCTAGCTGACAGATATTTTTGCATATACCTATGCCGAGCCCCCTGGTGGCACAGCAGGTTAAACTGCTGAGCTGCTGAACTTGCTGACTGAAAGTGTGGCAATTCAAATCCGGGGAGCTGGGTGAGCTCCCGCTGTTAGCCACAACTTCTGCCAACCAGCAGTTCGAAAACAGCAAACATGAAAATGTGAGTAGATCAATAGGTACTGCTTCTGTGGGAAGGTAACAGCACTCCATTAAGTCATGCTGGCCACATGACCTCAGAGGTGTCTACAGACAACACCAGCTCTTCAGTTTAGAAATGGAGATGAGCACCACTCCCCTAAACTTAATATCAAGAGAAACCTTTGCTTTAACTAGCTGAAAGAAATACTAAAAAATAAAAATAATCAGAAACAGAAACAAAAAAAACCCCCTCCTTTATGGAATTGTGAAAATATGTAATGGTATACCAGAAAGAGTTCTAATATGCATAATGCTCTAATGCACATCAGGTACTTTGTCAATCTTGCTATGTAGTAATGTAACAGCAATCCTCTACTGATGCAGATGGTATATATTTGCACGGTTCTAATCCCTGCAGGCGAAATTCATTTATGAACATGTAAGGCCTTAAAGCCTTCTGGTGATTCTTTTTATCCCTAGTATACACTGTATACAATAGGGGAAAAGTCACTTTTGTATATTTCTTACCTCAAATCCTGGGATCAAAGGGGTTCTATATTTATTTATTTATTTATTTATTTATTTATTTATTTCAGATTTTGGAATACTTGTGCATACATAATGAGATATCTTCCAAATGGGTGTCAAGCCTAAACACGAAATTGATTTATGTTTCATCTATATCTTATGCACATAGCATGGATACTTTTTATGTACAATATTTTAATAATTTTGTGGCTGAAACAAAGTGTGTATAATTAAACTGTCAGAAAACAATGGTGCCACTATCTCAACCACCCAATATGGACGATTTTGGATTTTGGAGTGTTTTGGATTTTGGAATTCTGGATAAGGAATGATCAAGCTGTATCTTTGGGTGTTCTGGAATGCTTGTTTTGGAGGATGCACACATACATTTTTAAAGGTGTCCCTCTGCTAAAGGGAGGCTGCTCCAATGTCACCAGTGTTCAACATAAACCAGCCCAGGAGTCATTAAACAGGGCATACCTGTAAGGAGACACTAACAGCCCCAGCAGACTCCCCAAAGATTGTGATGTTGTCAGGGTCTCCTCCAAAGTTTCTGATGTTTCTCTTCACCCAGGCAATAGCCATGTGCTGGTCTTTAAGGCCATAGTTACCTTGAGAAGAGCAGTGGGGGAAGAGAGAGAAAAGGGGAAAGAGAGATTTCAGAGCAACAGATTCCAAGGCCATCTCTTGACTAAATAATCTGCAGTTGGTTAAAACACTTGTCATTTCACACATAAATTCATTAAAATGAACAGATATATTGCCAAAATCTTTGTACACCACGGTGTTTAAGAGAGATCTCACCCAGGAGGCTCAGCATTGGAAACACAAGACCTAATAGTACGTAAATATCACACATACAAATTGAAATGTAAGTGTATCCCGTTTTTCCGGACTCCAAAAGACTGAGATGTGTGATATGCGCATCAACTTGAACATTCCCTTGGTTTGAAACACACTATCCTTAATAGCACTGTACATTATCTGGCCAGTAGTATTTGTAACAAGCCCTATGAGGAGTGGCTTAAAGATCTGGGCATGTTCAGTCTTCAGAAGAGAAGCCTGAAAGGAGACATGATGGCCATGTATAAATATGTGAGGGGAGCTCATAGTGAGTTTGTTTTCTGCTGCTCTGGAGACTAGGATGTGGAATAATAGCTTCAAACTACAGGAAATGAGATTCCACCCGAATATTGGGAGAACTTCCTGACTGTGAGAGCTGTTCAGTAGTGGAACTCTCTGTCCCAGAGTGTGGTGGAGGCTCTTTCTTTGTAGGCTTTTAAATAGAGACTGGATGGCCACCTGTCAGGGGTGCTTTGAATGCAATTTTCCTGCTGCTTGGTGGGGGGTTGGACTGGATGTCCCATGTGGTCTCAATGATTCTATGATTCTGTGATATGGACTATCATTCTAAAATTGCATACTCAAGTCTTCCATGTCAAAGGAGGTTTCAGTTGCCCTTGGATAACACAGGTACTTCTTTTGCAAGCAGTTTCTAATGCTGATCACAGGTGGACATTCCTTCCATGGGCATCTTTTTACCTGGAAGGTTGGCATCTCCCGTACTGAGGAAGCCCAGAGGTCCAAGACGGTAGTTAAAGGTCACCACGATGACATTTCCACGGGTAGCAATCTCCTGCCCATCATAGAGGTAGTTCTGGAGAAAATTGGGACCTTGTCCACCTCCCCAGAGGAAGGCCCCTCCATAAATCCAGACCATCACTGGTAGGTTGGTGGAAACTGGAGTGGCAAAGGATTGGGAGTTGAGACAGTAGATGGGTTAGAAAGAGAGCAGATCAATACAAAAGACCAAGCTCAGAACAAACTTTTTCACAGAAGGATGTGATGAGACCATTTTCAAAAATTGATATGTGATACCTGAATCTGCTCCAACTATTTTGCCAACCAACTTGGTACTCAGGGTAAAACGTATGCATTGCAGTATAGGGTACGGGATACAATGCAAGGGCACTGTTTACCCAAATAACAATTCCTCATGCACAATGAATCTTTCCCTTCAGATCCCAAATTTCAAACACTGCAGATATATTGAAATTCATGTGTACCTGGAGGACTTATATGTTCTGTGTTCAGATTTCGTTGGTAACTCCGCCCTCACCTTTTCTTTGAATGTTTAATCTCTCTAAATGCTTAACTCAAGTGTTAAATGGGAATGAAGGAAAATTTTATTGGGAAAGATAATGTTTGGTTGGAGTGCATGCTTTCATTTTGCATGCACACGCACTGCCATACACATATATACATCCCTCAATACCACCCACCCCATAAGGAGCCCCTGGTGGTGCAGTGGGTTAAAGCCCCGTGCCAACAGGACTGGTGACCGACAGGTTGCAGGTTCGAATCCGGGGAGAGGCGGATGAGCTCCCTCTATCAGCTCCAGCTCCTCGTGCGGGGACATGAGAGAAGCCTCCCACAAGGATGATAAAACATCAAATCATCTGGGCGTCCCCTGGGCAACGTCCTTGCAGACGGCCAATTCTCTCACAACAGGAGTGGTCGCTCCTGACATGACAAAAAAAAAACAACCCACCCCATACACCATATTCACTAACAAACCCACAATTGGTCAAATCTAAGTGAGCCCTGCATTGTACAACAGCCTTCTGTTCTTACCAGTTTTCTTCCCTTGAGGAACCCAAATGTTCAAGTAAAGACAATCTTCACTACCCCGAACATCTGTCTGCATGAGGTTGGATTGCAGGCAACGTTTCTTGTACTCCTTGGCCTCCAAGGTGCCTGAGAAAGAGAAAAATGAGAGGAACAGATGGGGCTATTTGTTTGTTCACTGGAAAGGAGCCTGTCTTCTGGGATGGAATTTGTATGGCAGTTGTATTCTAGACCTCCTTCCTCTGGCAGAGCATCAACCCTGAGAGATCAAGACCTACATGGTGTTTTGGACAATGATCACAAATAATATTGAGCATCTTACTTTGTCTCTCTTTGACATTACACATAAAATAGTTATATAAAATTTCCATTTGCATGCTAATATAGGATGCATGAAATGGACATTTACAGGCTTTGTAATAAAAGTTAATCCTTTGCAAACTTAGTATGTAAGAGATCATTTAGGAATAGAATTGCCAAAATACCGGTATCTCAAAAATACTATATTTATAAGAGAGGTTGGGTTTTTTTGGATGGGGAGGAAAATTGGATAGAGACCCCAAATAAAACATCCACCCACTATTGCAAATTTGGAAAGTTAAGAAGCTAATTAAACATAATACTGTCCTGTCTTTAGCTTCCATTAGAACAGTGATTCCCAAACTCTGATCCTCCTGTTTTGGACTTCAGTTCCTAGAAGCTTCAGACACTTTGAACAAGGTTCAGAAATTCTGGGCAATGAAGACCAAAACACCAGGAGGACTAGCTTTTGGGAATTGCTGCTTTGGGAAGGTTTTTTTTTTAAAAAAAAAAGGAAAAGGGGTACTGTTCGATTATCCAGGTGGAAGCCACAAGGGGGCACTAGACAAGAGATGAAGAGTCCATTTTAGGGGTTGTGAAGGAGTAAAACCATTTCCCCCTATTATTCTTACTCATGTCACCGCCATAGAAACAACCCTCATTTATGAAATGGGATGTGAGGAGGGGAAATAACTAGTGAAAATGGGGAAAATTGTTTTTCTCCTTCAACTCCCCTTTCCCCATGAAATGGACTATCCATCTCTGTCTAGGCTCCCTTTTGGAGTCTGCCCAGATAATGGAACAGTACCAAAAAGGAAATAAACTCCAGTATTATCAACAAAATAAAATTGTGATATCTGTTAGAATATTCTGCTTCTCAGCAAGTCTAGACTATTAGGATGCTAAAAAGTTTTGTAATCTGTGTAACTCAATGTAAAATGTCTGTGAAGAACATAATATGAGGCTGCCATCTAGTAAGATCAGACCACTAGTCAAACTAGGTCAATCTTACATGCTTCCTCTTCAAAAGAGGAAAGTAGGAAGAAGAGTGAAAAAGCAGGACCTTTCAAAAGCAGTAGATAGAGTAGGACTACAGAAGATTTATAGGAACATTCCCTGACAGATCAGGATAGTTGACAAGTATATTGTAGAGGCATGTGAGACATTTTAATGCCCTAAACTTTCTAGTTAGTTGAGGACAACAAAGCTCCTTGGCATGGAAGATGGAGCAACAGCCCCCCCTGTGGCCAGAGTTGAGCACAGTCTCCAGATGCCGGAGATGGAAAAAGATGGGAAGCCTTTACCTCTGTTTATGTACTGTTTGTCTTTGTTAGCTGTATAATTGGTATTGAATGTTTGCTGTATATGTGTACTGTAATCTGCCCTGAGTCCCCTCGGGGAGATAGGGCAGAATATAAAAAAAGTATATTTATCTAAAATAAAAAGCCCCTTTACCTGGCCAGCCAGGGTGTGGCTGAGGGTCTTCTAAGGTCTTTGTTGGTGCTGCAAAAGGGATTCCTTTGAAGATATCTACATAGTTTCCAAAAAGGCCCAACTTTTTATTGACTCCTTCCACAAAGCCTCCTTCCGTGATTACGATGCCCAGCTGTACTCATGCCACAAAAAGGAAAGAAATGTCAATTACATTCTTTGCATGATTAAATTGAGTGTAGGAATTGCATTTGAGCATTACCTTTAACATCCAACAAGCTAGCTTTGGCTCAACCAGCAGAATTGACACAGTTGAAGTATCATAATCTCTTTGAACAGTTGTATGCCCACCCCAAATTCACCAGAAACTGGTTTTAAAATTCCTTTAAATCAATATTCTGTTTAACACAGGGAAAGGGCTAACTCTGGGTATTTTTTTAAAATGACAAAACAGATTTTTTTTTTGCTATTTTAATGTATATGAATATATTTATTATGTGTTTTATATTATGTTTGACATTGAATTGTTGCCTGTTTGGAAGCTATTCTGAGTCCCTCAGAGGTCTAGAAGGACGATGTATAAATACTTGAATTAAATAAATAAATAAACTCCCTTAAACTGATAGAATCAGCTATATCAATCTTAGTCGGCCACTTGCTATTGCTCCCAGCTGTAGTTATGCATTTCTTCTAAACACTGTACAGGCAGTCCCCGAGTTACAAGCATCTGACTTACAAACAACTCACAGTTACAAATGGGGGTAAGACAACAGGAAGTGGGAGAAATCTACCCCTTGGAAGAGAAAAATCCCTCTTGAAAGAGTTATCACGGTGGAAAGGTGTCTCCACAGCAGCTTTCTCACAAATCCTTGTTTTCACAATAAACCAAATTTTTCAACATCCAATTATCACAGGGACAGAAAGTGAGGTGAAATCTTCTGAACAGTTGAATTTGTAAGTGAAAGGATACATTTTTGAGTGTAACTACAGTTTAAAATGTACCTGTTCCGACTTACAAACAAATTCAACTTGAAAATAAACCTACAGAACTTATTTTGTTTGTCACTTGGAGACTCCCCTTTCCCCTGTGAGGGCCATTGTCTTCTTTAACTTACCTTTGCAGCCCCTGCTATGCCCAGGCAGAAGGCAAATGTGAGGCAGAGGAATCCCCAGCGAGCCATGGTGACCTCCAAATGAGTCTCTCTCAGTCCAGATGGGCATCTTTATAGTCTGGGCCCTACCCAAGTTATCACTATGAAGCCTGAGAAAAGAGCATAAATGCCACAGTTTCCACCAGGCGATTATCGTGAAATGGCCTTTGGTTGTTGCCAACTCAATTTCTTTGGTGAAACTTCCAAGGTTAATGGGGGGAACAGGGGAGCTGCTTATCTTGAAGGGAGGTGGATTCTGGCCTTTCCAGCCAACAGCTGGTGTCCTCACACTCCATAACCTTTGATGTAACTTATAAATAGAAGCCTCTCCTAGGAAACCAAGGAAGCTCACTATGAGATATCAGGGAGAATGGGCAACAGTTCTCCTGAGGACCAGGGTGAGCTTTTCAGTCATGATGCCAGCTCTGAAGAGGGCTGCAGAACATGTAGCCCTACTATTAAGCAGAGCAAGGGAGCAGTTTTGGGTTGTCATATGTTGGCAGCAAATTGCTAGCCGTCTCGTGTTTTGTTTGGGTATGTGCTTCCACTACATTCAAAACATAGATGTCTATTAAAATATTTTGAATTCATTCTGTATAACTAGATCTACAGCCAATAAAACTATTCAGCATGCCACAACAGAGCTCTTTCCCGAATATGACATCCTTTTAGATATTTAATTGTGACTTTCATGTCACCTCTTAACCTTCTCTCCTCCAAACTCAACATATCCCACTTCCTAGGCAGTTCTTCACAGTGCTTCACTTTCAGACTTTATAGTGAAATACATCCCTAACAATACCATTTTGTTCTTGTGAGTTTTTTCGGGCTATGGAGCCATGTTCTAGAGGCATTTCTAGAACATGGCTCCATAGCCCGAAAAAACCCCACAAGAACCTAGTGATTCCAGCCATGAAAGCCTTCGACAATACAATACCATTTTGGTCATGTTCCAGCATATCAATATCTTTCTTCAATTTTGATGCCCAGAACTGGACAGTGTTAGTCCAGGTGAGATCAGACCTAAGCAAGATGGGGTAGGACTATTGCTTCTTATGATCTAGACGTTACACTCCTGTTGAATTTTCTTCCTGTTTCCTTTCTCTGCAATTCCACTTTCCCAGCCATGCGAATAATTGCGAATATTATGGCAATAATACTTACAATAGCCAAGTCTTGACCATTTTTTCCCCTAGAGATATCAATTAATACTACCCAGACAGTTTTAATGGTGAATTTTAAACTCCACTGTGCATTTTGATATGGAGGTATGTATTAATATGTGTATTTTACGGAGTGTTTTAAAATTATTATGTGTTTATGTTTTACTAATGCTGCAACCCACCTCAAGCCATGAGGAAAGGTGAACAAGAAATAAAACTGTTGTTGTTGTTGTAATGACAATGTTAAAGACGATGCCAGGTAGTGTAGCTGTGATGGGAAGAATTCTTGCCATGTATAGGTATAACATGGGGCATTAGAAATTGACTGGGTAGTTCAATTTGCCTTCTATTCCCTAATCACCACCAAATCTTAGTAAAGTGGCTAATTGGGGGATTCTTGGAATTGTAGTCCCATACATCCAGTCTATGGTCTCCATGTTATCAAAAATTAGAACCCAAAATTATGAATTATGATATGCGGCTCCATTGGTACACCGTGTTGCCTTTTCCATTTGTTCTGAATTAACATGGAATGCTGTGCCACTGCACCTTGGATTTCTGGATGTAATCCCATAATTATCATAATCTCTTCTTAATGCACTGGAACAATTCAAGGGCCACACAATGAGTTTGTGCAAGAGCCCCTGGGTCTTTTCCCATTTTACTCTGATATGATCTGAGTTATTCCTGGGAACACTTCCACATCCCTGTCACCAAACTGGATTTCTCTATGGGATTCCCACTGAAATAACCAACACCATAAAGCACCCTTTTGTCTCTCTGGATTTGCACCCATCTTATTAACTAGAGCTGAGATATCAAGACCCATTTTGTCCCATTATTGCTTTCTCCACTGCATTTTGTAAACAAACACAATCTTCAAAATAATCAAATGAGTTTATTAGACTTTCCCGCCACAGTGGGGACCAACGAACAATTACGTCATACAGAGTCCTGGACCAATCAGGGAATGGATCCTATCTTAAGAGCCTTTTTGACCAATTAGGAGCCAGCGTCAGAGTCTTGCATAGCCGCCAAAGTGTTATAAATAAAATGTATGTTCACAATTATAGTAAGTCAGTTCTTTGGAGTGCTGTCTCTGCTGATCTCATCTCTGGCCATTGAGAATAAAACTTCTGATTTTGCCTTCAACCTATTTGTGTCTCATCTGGCTTTCTGGAAGCTTGACACTCTGGACCCCAAACCCGTTATTTTAGCAGACCTGAAATTACATAACACCCATTAGGAAAGAGAATGTCCATCTCTACAGCTACAAAAAGACATTGCTACAGCTTCAACATTATGTGCAAATGTCCACATGTAAGTTAGAAGTAGAGCAAATATGGTAGCAAATATATCATCCTATAGTTCCCTTTGCTAATTCATTCCCAAGATGGGAATGCAACTGCTGGGCTAGGTCCATGAGTCATGCCCACAAGCAAATGGGCATATAAAACAAAGCATGTTAGAGAACAACAATGTGTGGATTTAAAAAAAAACAATTTTGGTGTAGGAAGAAAACATAAAATATATGTTCAGACTATACTGCAGGCTACCACAGAAGTCTTCCAGATTTAGAGTTCTCAATAACTCTTTGTCAGATTAAGGGATATAAAAAGTAAAAACTGAGAGAAAAGAAGCAGAAAAACCTAATAATTATGCTGGATGTGGTGACCACAAAGTCTGAAGTTAAATTCAAATCTAAAACATGTAATATTGAAGGGCTTCAACATTCTTCATGCTATTCCACATTGGCTCCTTACATAAAGACTTTCCAGAGACCAGAAAAAGCTCATGCTGAAGTAGTAGGCCTGATTTTTAAAAAGATTGGATGAAGGACAACAGTGGGAAAAATCAAAGATGTTAGCATGAGAGACTTTCCTGATGTTACGGCTATGAACTGACAAGCAGCAAAGATCAATAAGTACAGTCAGCTCTGGCAAATGCCATTTTGGCGACAATGTGGCATGCAATCTAGACATGATCAGTTGTCCAAATACAGTAGTAGGATCACAGTGGCATGACCAAAGCGGCCGCATTGATAAATTGAACAGGAATATAAAGTGAACTCTTTAAAGGAAAAATCAGATTCCCTTTCCCATGCCTTGTTTTGTGCATGCAAACCATAACGCGTGCAGACGTGGCATTTAAAATGGTATCAAAGGACCATCAAATTGTGCAGCATGAGAGATACACTGGAATTGGAAGGGACTTCAAAGGCCACTTATTTTGAGAGGTGGCTCTCCAACATCTGCTTTAAAAGCTCTTAAGAAAGAATTGTCTGCCAGCTGGAAAATGCAAAATTAAAGAACTGCTGGCTGCAATTCAGAGGTTCACCACACAGGGCAGTCAATCATCAGGGTTGGTGGATGCTGGGTGACATGACAATTTCTCAACCAAGGAGAAACAGACTTCTGCAGGAAAAAATCCCAATGTTATATTTGAATGGTCAGTACAAAAGTAACACACATTGCCCCAACAAACGGGCAACCTGTAAGCTTCCTTTGTGTAATATGAGAAATTTAAACTGGTGGTTTAAAAAGAACATAAATATGTTGTCGAAGGCTTTCATGGCTGGAATCACATGGTTGCTGTGAGTGTTCTGGGCTGTATGGCCATGTTCCAGACGCATTCTCTCCTGATGGTTCACCCACATCTATGGCAGGCATCCTCAGAGGCTGAGATTTGAACAGACCCCTCAATCTCTGAGGATGCCTGTATACATGTGGGCAAAACATCAGGAGAGAATGCTTCTGGAACATGGCCACGCAGCCTGGAAAACTCACAGCAACCCAGAATATAATACTCATATCTTTAACAGAATAGAAATTATGCCTGCTCTCATACTAGTTGGTTCTTGGTATTTGATTCCATAGATATCAAAATCTGTAGATTCTCAAGTGCTGTTGTATGCAATAGCATAGAAAAATGGTGTCCCTTATTAAAATTGCAAAATCAAGAGGTGCTTTTTGGATTTTAAAATATTTTCAAGTAGAGGATGGTGGAATCTAAGGTTACAAAATCTGTGGCTATGGAAAGCTGACTGTACAAACTTCTAAAGAGGCCCTTAACAATAGGACAATTTCTAATCAACATAGATTTTAAAAAATCTAAGAATGAGGGATGATGGGAAATAGAGTTCAATAATATCTGGACAGGTAAAATTTCCTCATCCCTGTTTTGCTATATATTCAGATGAATACTCAGATGTTGGCTTAGAAATAAGAACACAAGACAGTATTCTTTAGAGCAGTGTTTCTCAAAGTGTGCTCCTCCAGGTGTTTTGTGACTTCAGATTCCAGAAATCCCAGCCAGCTGATGGAATTGTGAGAATTGTGAGAAATGAAGTCCAAAACATCTAGGGGGTGATAGTTTGAGAAACTCTGCTTCCCAGACAGGGAGAGGTAAGAGCTGAGGCATATATTGAAACGTCTCAACTTGAATTTTAAGTTATTTTTTTAAACTCCCCACATACTTTCATTATGCAAGCTGTTTTGCTGAGAAACACTGAATTTGTCAGCTCACAATTCACAATTTACTACCTGTGCATGCTAAGATATGTGTTGTTGCTGTTGCTGAGACAAAATTAAACCACAAAGCGACATTTTGAGTTTTAATGTTGGCTATTTCTAATGGTTTTTTTTAAATTGCTGAATGTTGAAATAGAAGAACTGATGTCCTATCACAGTGGTTCTCAACCTGGGGTCCCCAGATGTTTTTGGCCTACAACTCCCAGAAATCCTAACAGCTGGTAAACTGGCTGGGATTTCTGGGAGTTATAGGCCAAAAACATCTGGGGACCCCAGGTTGAGAACCACTGTGGACCTATCAGATCCATTTCATCATATGTGGGATTTAAATTGGTGGCTTAAGGATACCAAGTGCTGAAGGAAAGTTTTGTTC